TTTTTTTTTTTTTTTTTTTTTTTTTTTTTTTTTTTTCTGGGAACAGGATGAAATAACCTTGAAATCAGGGATTAGACAGGTTCTGTGTGGTCTAGCTGTAATACTGTAATTTCTTTTTGTTCTTTTGGTCAGTCCGGGGATCCAACCCAGGACCTTGCACTTGTCAGGTGGGCCTTTATGCCGCTGAGCTATCTCCCTGGCCCTGTAGTACTTTCTTGTGTTCCTAGGACTTCACTGTATTCCAGTGTAGTGTTTGGCCTTCTGAACCCTGGTGTTAAGGGGGGTGGTGGATCTTGAAGGCAGGTGTCTGGGCCTTTTGTATTTCTAGAGTCAATTTGCATTTTACTATTGAGATCTTCTGATGTTTAGTCTCTGTGTTTGGTTTAAGTAGTAGATTGCTGAGGGAAATGAAACTGCTATCTGGTAAAATTCTACCTCGAGTGAAATGTCTGGTGTGCAGGTCCAAGTTCTTTCCGGGCACTGAGTGAGGTGGGGGGTGCAGGCAGTGAGTAGGGCCTGTGTCTGCACAGGGCTGGGGACCAGCCAGCTGCTCAGGTGATTGAGTAGTGTGGCCTCAGGCTCTCTAGCCCTGAGTTCTGCGAGTGGGATGAGGGACTGTGTCACCAGATAATGGGGGTAGAGTGCTTTGAGATCATCAGATGAAAAGCACCTTATAAAATCAAGTTGCTGGTATTATTTTGCTACTGTCATCAACAGAAATAATTGTTACTCTTAATCACACTGGGTTAGGTGGGGCTCAGTTTACTTCCTATTAGTGTAGGAATAAACAACTGTTGGGAAGAAAAGGACCATTCCTGTCCCTGTGGTGGATCCAGTTCCTCTTACAGGACATTTCATCTTTAATACAAGAGTATTTCTCACCTAGCTCCTTTAGCAGGTGATTCTGAAAGGCCAGACTTTGACCTTCTTTCTGCCTTTTCAGAGATATAACTGAAAAGCATGGAGGGGTGAGAGAGAAAATGAGATTTGCTGTTCTGATTGTAATGTTATGTTTTTCATTGTAGCAATAAATACTCTATGTGCAAAGATAAATCTTTGTTCTAGGACTGTCCCTCATGGTGTACTCTTGTTTGTTTCTATGTTTTGCTGTTTGTATTCACAGTATTTGTCTCAGGTAAGATAGACCTCTTAGAAGAGCCAGCCCTTGGGGCTGGGGAGATGGCTCAGTAGAATAAGCACTTCCTTGGCAAGCGCAAGGGCCTGAGTTCAGTCCCCAGTTCCGAAAAAAAAAAAAAAAAAAAAAAAGCCAGCCTTTTGGTGACCTTAGCCCAAATAAAGCCTTGTTCTCCTTCCTGTCGGACCAGTGCTTAGGAGGGAGAGGGTCTGGATCCCAGCCCTTTACCTCATGCATAGAAGGAAGAGGAAAATCATTTTCTTTCAGAAGGAACTTTTTAACTGGGTAGCCCGTGGGGTTGGGCCTTGGTGTTGTTTAGAAATACCCTGGAAGACTTTCTCTGGTAAACACTTTGTCTTTCTCCAGGTGAGACACATAACACAGCTCACCTCTGCGTCTGCCAAGCCCAAGCTTGAAGATGGAAGATCAGAGACCTTGAGAAATCTGGAGACTGGGACATCTTGGAGCCTTGGCTTTATCCATGGTGGTCTGTTAGAATATCGCCAGGAGAAGCTGCTCTTCATCCCCGCTGCTTCTGGAGAAGGGCATGGCTTCGCGGATTTTAAGTTTCCCTTTAGCTGTGCATGAACTCTATGGGAAACAGCGCCCCTAAAAGGATCAGGAGTAACAGGAAGAGGCTGAAGACGCTTGGGCTGCTGTTTTCCCTCCCCCTTCAAAGAAAAGGATTTACAGCTCTGCTCTGGAACAGCTGCTGACCAGTATTGGCCATCAGGAGAGAAATAAATAAAATTAAGCCTCTGTCGCCAAAGGCAGGTCCTGGTGAAGACAAGGTGTGGGAGTGGTGGCCCCAGGAAGACTGCCCAGAAGGGGCAAGCGCTGCAGTTAGAAGAGCTTCTTTCTTGAAGGCTGATGGGCTGGGGTTCATTTTGAGTCATGAGAGGAGGAAGGGCACAACTTTAGGTGCCCTTACTGTTTAGCTGCTGCTGGGTCTCCTTGGGGGAATGCCCCTGCCTTAGGGAGCCCCGCCTCATCCATCTGCCCCTGACTGTGTGCTGCGCAGTCTGTGGTCCAGGCCCAGCTCTCAGGCTGCTGCAGGCGCTCCAGGATCTCCTAATCTGCCCTGGGCCTTGCTCCAGGGTGGCAGCTCCTCAGCTTTTGAAGCCACCTTTCCCCTCCTGTGCTTCCCCTTCTCTGGGACCTGTGAGCTGCAGTGTTCTCAGAAGAGGGAAGGTGCTACCTTGACAGCTCCAGCCTCCCCTGGTTGGCGCCCTCTCTGCTGCCCCTCGCCCGGTTTCTTGCCTGTCCTGCCGCCGCGTGTGCCTGGCTATGCGGCAGGGCAGCTCTCCCTTCACAGCTCCAACATGCCCTCAGAGTCTGGAAAGAGGTTCAAACCCAGCAAGTATGTCCCGGTCTCCGCAGCTGCTGTCTTCCTAGTGGGTGCCACCACGCTCTTCTTCGCCTTTACGTGAGTTTCCTCTGGGAAGTGGTGTTCTGGGAGGTGGAGAGGGCGCTTTCTGCTGGGTTCTGGAGTCCCTGCAGAGCCCAGTGATGGGCACTTGGTGTTGGATACAGAGGTGAGGGGAGTGGGAGAGGCCTCACTTCCGGCTGGGTTACTTGCTGGCCCTCCAAACTCCTGCTTCCAGCTCCCCTCCTGCCTGTTTTCTCCCCACTGCCTCCTCAGGCAGGTGAAGGAAGAGGGAAGAAACTCCCAGAGAGGCTTGAGGCAGTTTAAGCCCTCCAGTCTGTGGGGAGGAGGACAGGAAAGTCTTCTCCAGTAGGAGTGACTTTCCCCAGGAGGTTTGCTGCTTAGGGCCAGGGCTGGGAGGTGGCACTGCTGTGTGAGGCCTGGCAGCCTACGGGGGCATGGCGCAGGGCTGCGCAGGTGCTCGTCTTAGTTTTCCCGTATTTCTGTACTGGCGGACTGAACCCAGGGCCTTCATGCTTAGCTCCAGTCACAGCTCCTCTTTAAGTGCTTCTGAATTTTAAGACAGGGTCTTGCTGAGTTGCTGTGTTGCCCAGACTGGGCCTGAACTTTTGTTCCGCCTCTCTTAGACTCCCAGGGTATGCCCTGTATCCTGCTTTCTGTACTCTTCTGTAAGTGCTGCCGCCTGCAGATGAGGTCCACTGGGAAAGGCTGTACCTGATGTGGGAAACATTCTCTGCATTGGTTCCTGCTGAAAGGAGTGAGAGGAGCTCCATTTCTTCTTTGCTTTGGGAAGAGAAATTGACATGGGTGGTGTGTGGCTTAGAGTGTGGGGCTGCCGCGTTCCCAGCCAGAACCCCCAGACTTGGCTCACCAGCTTGTCGCCATCGTGGTGTCATTACTTGTTGGCAGTGTGGAATGGACCTGTCCTGGTCTTCGCAGCTCTAATCCATTGAGTCACCGTGTTAGCACTCTAGCTGCAGTTCTCAGAGGGATCAGAACATGCTGGCTCTTCTGGAAAGTTCACTATGATGTGGTTCCAGCTCCAGCCTAATTATGAGGTGCTGCTGAGCTGGGTGAGGCTGCTGGGAGGAGGAAGAGACCGAAGCAACAGGCAGTGAGAGCAGTTTGGACTCGGTGAGGCAGGAACTGGTGGTGTGGACCGTTCCCCAGTCAGTTAGTCTGGGAGGTAGGAGGGAAAGAAAGTGCTGTGTCCTTCTCTCTGGTTCTTAAACAAGGGGAGAACGAATCCTTCACTGTGTCCCGACATCAGCCCGCTTCTCCTGGAGTGCAGAAGTTGTGGCCGTGTTGGCCCCAGCTCTGGGCCCTCAGCATCCCTGCCAGGCCCCTCAGGGATCAGAGCCAGCCGTGCTTTTTATCTGGCTTGTTTCCTTAGTTATCTCTTTCAGCATGCTTGGTGTCCTGTCCTCTGCATTGACGACCAGTAAAGAGGTGTAAGCCTCTGGGCCAGGACTTGTTTCTGCTTTTGCCATCACGACCAGGAAGCACAGTCACACTCCTGACAAGAGGCGTTGCTCGTGTCTTTGTGTCCTCGTGGCAGTGTGTCTGTGACACCTCAGCCTTCCTTGGCTGGGTGGTTCTGCTGGCCTTGAGAGGCAGAGCTCTGGGAGAAGCCAGGCAAGTGGGGAATGAGTGGTGGTTCTCCTCAGGGCGTGCAGAATTGGTGCTCTTAATTTTCTGATCTGGAACCATTGAAGCGTTTGGCTGGTTCTACCAGTTTGCCCACAGAGCTGTACAGACATAGGCATTTTCTCAACTGATAGTCGAAGCTACTTAACCTACTTTTTGCGTTCTCTGGTGCCAGTAAAATAGGGGCCCTCCTCCTCCTGTGGTCTCTCAGCCTCAGGAAAAAAGATCTTGGAGATGTCTTTGTACTAGTATGTGTTTGCAGCACATCATAATTACATTCCTCTTGGTTTGGAGGTCGTTACTGACTCAGTTTAGAATTGTTGCCCCTGATCCAGTTGGAGCAGCCTTGGGTCTTAGGGGAAGTTCTCATTGGGTGCGCTTCTGGCTCCCTTGCCTCCTCAGGTCTGCTGCCCACCTCATGGAGACATAAGCACCCTGTTTGCCATCTCTCACTTCACTCTACGTCTCACTTTTGTATTTGGCTGTCGTGTGTGTCTCAGCACCTGCCTGGGCCATGGTGCAGTTGTCTCAAGTCTTTTGCTCTGGGGGCGCTTTGTGGCTCAAGGCCTTGGAGAGCTCCTTGTTGAAAACCATAGACAGCCTCAGAAGGTGTTGGTGGGTTCAGATGAGAGGTCAGTGGAGGAACGCACTGTGCAGGGTCCTTCCAGGGCCTGAAATCTGCCCTTTCTGCCACCCTGATCTTCTCTGGCTACACTGCCTGTTACACCATGGTAGGCTGAGGTGAACCTAGAGGGTGGGGAGTAGGAGGAAGTGTCTTCTAGCTGCTAGACATAATTAGTGAGACACACAGGCTTCGGCTAATTAGGAACAGCTCTGCCTCCATGTTTTTCTGTTAAGTGTGGAAAGCTCTGAGTGGAAGTTACCGCCGGGCTTGGTCACCAGAGAAGTGCTGATCTCTTTCTGCCCAGAGAGGTCTGGACAGAGCAGTCAGTGCCTGCCCCAGAGCTAACTCTGCCCCTCTCTTCCTGAGTTGGGCCAGGCTGTCCTAACACTTGTTCTCCCCTTTTTGGGGGAAGAACAGCTATTCCTGGGTGCTTGGATTCTGCCCAGTAGGAATGTAGGTGACTGTTGGGGCTGGTCAGGGCACTCCTGAGGGAGTTGGTGACAGTGGTGGGTGTCGGGACGATCTGCTCCGTCTGTTAACCCTTGTGGCCTGGGATTCTTCCTTTTGGCAGTAAGGAAGTTGAGCCCTGGCAGGTGGCTTAAGCAGCGTGACCCTTCTTCTGAAGAAACCTTACACAAACTCAGTGTGAACCATGAGGCTGGCATGAGGACCTAGCCGCTTGGTGTGTCTTAGGGGTTCTCTGAAGTCTTAGGGCTCCTGGCAGCCCCCTTGAAATTATCCTGCTAATCTTCTCAGAGTCTCCTCAGTGCTGTGTGTCCTTCTCCAGCTGTAAGGGGAGGTCTTGCTCTGGGTGAGCCTCTAGGCCAGAGATCAGGCTGTGTGATCTCCTTCCAGGGACCGTCTGGGGCTGCTCTGGCTTTCAGTTTCTCTGTGGCCCATCTACCCCTTTTACCTTCAGAGTTGGGCAACCTCAGGGTCTTTCCCAGCTTTCTTTTCCCTAATGGCCTAGGTACTAGCGCCTGACTGAGTGGGCGTGGTCTTGTGATGTAGGCCACTCCTTGCCCAGTGGTGTTCCTTTCTTTGCCCTGTGGTTTTCATTTCCGGGAGTATGGGTTTAGGCCCTGCCTATAGCTTTCAATTGCTGGGAAGTCGAGGTTACAGAAGCAACAGAGCAAGTGGGGCTTGAGGTTGTTGTTGATTGGTTTAATGTATTTGGTATACAGAGTCTCACTATGCATCTTGGACTTGTACTGATCCTCCAGTTTTCAGCTTCCCCAGTGCTGGGATTATTGGCATGCGCCACTATGTCTGGTTTCGGTGGCTGGCTCAACAGCTTGTGGTTCTGGGATCAAGCCCCGGTTCCTGGACTTGCCTAAGCAGGTACTTAGTCTGCTGAGCTATCTGGATGGCCTGGTTCTTTTTTCTTTCCTTCTTTCTTTTTCTTCTTTTTTTGTATTTAGTACAAGGCCTACACGGACACAGTTTCACTACCTAGATCACACTTGTAGGGATTCTCCCGTTTTTAGTCTCCCAAGTGCTGGGATTACAGGCGTGCTACCAGGACTATCTCAGTCTCCGTTTTAGTGTACCCCAGGGCAAGGCCTGCATGGCATGCTGGAAATTGAACCCTCACTGCTGTGCTCTGCCTGAGCAGGCACTTTAGTCTGCTGAGCTATCTGGCCTGCCCATGGTTTGGTTTTTGAGGTTACATTTCTCTGTGTAGTTCAAGCTGGCTTTGAATTTGAAACCCTCCTGCCTCAGCCTCCCAAATCCTGGGTTGTAGGCTTGTACCACCATGCTTGGCTTTTCTTTGAGGCAGAGTCTTGCCCAGGCTAGCTTCTAAGAGCTAAGAAGAGTCCCTGGAGCATGCTGGGATTATAGGTATGTACTACCATGTGCCTGGCTTGTTTTTTTTTTTTTTTTGAGGGGGGTTCCTGGGATCTAACTCAGGACCTTGAGCTTGCCAGGCAGGCACTTACGCCGCTGAGCTATCTCCCCAGCCCTTATGCCTGACTTTTAAGAGAAATGGATACACTATCAGAAGAGGATATTCTTTCATAGAGCAGTGGTGACAAACTTGTGGCCTGTGTGATGCAGTGAGCAGTTTCTATCATTGAGAGCTCTAGAAAGTTCACCATCACTGTTCTAGAGTCTGGAGAAAGCCCTCCTGGCTGAGCACCTCCCAGGGCAGGAAGAAAGTCTTTACTCCAGCCTGGACTCCATGGTGAGGAGCACGCAGTGTGCCAGGCAAGGGCTGGGTTTGTAGTCCTGGCCTCCAGGTGCTGACCTCTGCCTCCGTGTCCTGGGGGAAGTGGCGTGAGGTTAGCGGTGGGTGGGGGCTGCAGCGATGATTGCTGATGGGTGGTGCTGTTGATAGTAGATGCTCCTGTCTGGTATCCAGCGATGCTCACTAGTGAGCCTGCTGATCTAAGACTTGTAAGATCTTGTCAGATATTCTCCATCATTCTGTTTGTCTTTTGTAGTGGAAGTAGCAAGCTTGAGGCTTGTGTGTGGGTTATGCGGGGCTGCATTTGAAGCATTATTTGAGGTAGGATTAAAAGCCACAGCTACCTGTGCCTACTTTGCTTTTCTTTCTAGGAACTTTCTAGATTTACTTGGAAGTATTGGGAGCTAGGTTTTAGGACTGCACATTGAAACCCCTTCTTGGATTGCCTCTGGCCTTGGGGACAGAGTGCTGGGTGGGTGGGCAGAAAAACTTGTTCTGCCCTGACTGGTTAGCCTGGGAATACTTCAGTGACTCAGCCTGCCCCTGGGCTGGACGCTCCCTGGGTGCAGGTGCCCTGTGGTTACGCTGCTGAGTCTGAGGACAGGTCCTGGCAGCTCCTCTCCTCCCTCTGCTCTGGGTCACCTCCCTCCCTCAAAGGCACTAGACTCTGGCAGCCACTCGCCTTCACCTCAGTTTGTCAAAGCACAGGAGCAGGAGAGAGCCGCTCTGGGAGCTGGGCAGAGCAGGACAGTGGTCAGAACAGGCTCTGCTAGCATGTGCCTGGTGGTGGTGCGCATTCCCTCCCAAGCACTGAGGGTAGAAGATGCCACTTGTGAGCTTAAATCATCCTTGTCGTCCCTTGTGGATCCTGCCACAGTGGAGGTGTGCTTTATTTTGGCAACGGAGTTGGGACTGGGTTCAACGATGGCTTGCTCGCTTGAGTTGGGATGGGCGGTACGGAGGAGGCCGTCGGGCAGGCCTCCTCACCCAGGGCTGGGCCACAGCACAGCGCAGCACTGGATGAATTACTGTGCTTAGAGACAAAACTAGGGGGAGCAGGAGCTGAGATGAGTGCCTGAGCTGCTCTGAGTCTCTTCAGTGTTGCTGTGGACTGGAAAGTCCTTCATGTTTTGGTTAGAAGGAAAAGAGGCTGTGCTGGTCCTGCTGGCCACTTCTAGGGATTTTAAGTCATAGACACCTAAAGGATTCAATGTGTTTTTCCTTCCAGTTATCCTCCCAGGCTGTGGGAGGGTAGTGAGTCACCCTTTCTCCTCTTCCCCAGGTGGAAACCCAAAAGGCAGCTGAGTGGAGGGAGGGGCTCTGGCGAGGAGGCTGGTTTCCAGGCTCTTCTCTCCCCTGAGGAGCCTGCAAGGTCCCCCCACCACCTGAACTGAGGGGGTGGGGCGCAAGGCTGTGACTGGGGCCTCACTGTCTAGTCTCCTAAGTATAGCAGATATCAGGAGAAGCAAAGAGCATGTATTGTTTTTGAAGTCTGACACATAAATACTTAAGATGTTTTTGAATGAATGGCAAAATGGGATTTGGTAACCTGGACAGTGACAGTGAAGATTGTGAGATGTGTTTTGACATTTTGTCTCAGCTGCTTGATTATTGATCTGTTAGTATTTCATTAGTGTGCTCAGGGCCTCTAAACTTTCCTGAGTCTCTGCCCAGCTGTGTTTTTGGACCTGAGGGGCAGATCACTGTCTCCAGGCCCCTCCTTCTTCCCTTCAGTGAGCTCTTTCTTCTGGCTGGCCTAGACTCTGGGCCGGAGGACAGATGCTGCCCTGAATCTGGAGATTAAGTTCTCAGCTGTAAGCAGATTAGGGCATTTGCCCTGTCTTGTAGTGGGAAATTCTTCTGCACCAAGGAGGGAGAAGGGGCGTTTGCTGCTTCTTAGAACCCTGGCTCCCAACAGAAGTTCTGACACTCAGACTCTGGGAGGGCCTCAAGCTAACCCTGGGTAGGGTGTGTGCGTGCTCTTTCCCAATCAGAGCAACGCTGTCTGTGTGAGCCCAGGGGAGCACTGGAGATGCGTAGCCAGTCAGTCTCCGGTGGGCCTTGGGCTTCTTTTAGTTTAGAACCTGTCCCTCCCCTTCCTGTGTCCCAGTGTCATGGGGTGGGACTCCATAGTCATCTCTGTCTGCATTCTTTTCAATTTCCCAACTTGAGCATAATATTGCAGTTGAGTAAGACCCAGGAATACCTGACACTGGAGAACCCAGAGGCAGCTGAGGGCCTTGCAGAGCCTGAGGGGGTGGGGGGAGAGCCGGTGGGCGTCGGTGGGCCAGGAGCACTAAGCTGAGCAGGGCGGGGAGTGCAGCTGGTGTCAGTTGCTTCCTCAGTCCTGCTCTTATGTGGGTTAGTGAGGGATAAGGACATTTGGCCAAATAAGTGGGAGAGCGGAGAAGAAAGGGCCTGAAGAGCAAGTGGAAGTCGAGGCCCGCCTTGGCTGTGCACTGAGTTCAAGGCCAGCCTGCACTACATGGTGAGACCCTTGTCTCCAAAACAACAAGGCCATTGCCCCATGCTCCTCTGGAGATTTATATGATCAGATAGGGCTGAATCTTTTTCTTCTTTTTTTCAATACTGAATTGAAAATACTGCCTTTATTATTTTTCTCACTGCTGAGGCAAAATACGTGACACCCAAAGTTACAGGAGGAGAGATTTATTTGGCTCAGTTTGTAGAGGCTCAGGCCAAAGTCATCTGGCTCCAAGGCAGGGTGGCACGTGGCAGAGGGGCCTCACAGAGAAAGGTTACATGGTGGAAGGCAGGAGGCATTAATAGTGACCACAGCAGCTCCCTTTCTGTCCCTTAGAGCTTGTTAAGGGTAGCCTGTAGAGTGGGGAGGGTTCACACCCAGGGTAGGGCAGCCTTAACCCTAGCTTGGCACCATGAATCAATCCCAGCATCATACACCCTAGACCCAGCCACCTCCAGAAAGCCTGATCTCTGACCACATGCTGTGGAGGGACTTTTTTTTTTTTTTTGGTGATACTGGGGATTGAACTTGGGATCTTGCGCTTACCAGGCAGGCGCTTATGCCACTGAGCTATATACATGGTCCTTGGAGGGACATCTTGACACAGCCATAACAATTGGGGACTGAACTCAGAGTCTTTCACTGAACCACATCCCCAACCTTTTTTATTTTGAGACAAGATCTCTAATTTGTGCAGTTTAGGCTTCAATTTATGATTTTCCTTCCTGGGTCAGCCTCCCAGTGTGCTGGGATTAAAGATGTACAGCACCATGCTTGGATTAGCCACTGAATCCTTACAGGTTTTTTCAGTATGGTTTCTGCCCTTCATGTTCTATATTCTCTGTGCAGGTGTCCGGGACTGAGCCTCTATGTGTCACCTGCAGTGCCCATCTACAATGCGATCATGTTTCTCTTTGTGCTGGCCAACTTCAGCATGGCCACCTTCATGGACCCAGGGGTTTTCCCTCGAGGTAAGGTCTCTTGGAAGCTCCTTGTTGCCTTGGGAAGATACGGTCAATCTTAAGATCCTAGGATGGGGGTACTTCTGAAGTCTGAGTGTAGAAATCAGGTCCAGGACTCGAGGAATATATGCCGTCATTTCTTCCATTGAACTCACTTTGTGGCAGACCTCAGAGTTTTAGTTCTCATGGTAAGCATGTCGGTAGTGCGTTAGAGTGGTTGAGTACAGCAGTTCCCTATTGTCTTGGGCCCTGGTGGCAGAGAGAGGCATGGGCAGGCTCCGTGAGCACAGGGCGAGCAGGGGCCGGGAGGGAGAAGGTGCTCTGGCTGTGCTGCCTCGAGCGTCGCCCTGCCCGCTCTGTGGAGCAGTCAGGCAGCACTGGGCTTGTTTGGTGTTGAGAGGAGAGGAGAAGAGTTGTCTTGGGGTAATTCAAGCTTCCTAACTTACGACCTAGGTTGGGTGCTGATTTTGAAAAACTACAGGTGAGTAATAGGAATATTAGGCAGATAGGGAAGAAGAGAATACTCTCACTCGTACTCAAGGGTTTTTTTTCTTTTTTTTTTTTTTTTTAATGTTTTTTTTTTTTTTTTTTTTTTTTTTTAATGGTACTGGGGGGTTGTACCCAGGTCTTTCCCACAAAACTACACCCCACGTTCAACCTTTCAACTTTGAGGCAGTGGAGTGTGATGGTGCACCCCTGTAAATATCAGCATTCCTGGGGCTGAGAATCATAGATTGTCATGAATCTGAGACCATCTGCGCTACACAGTGAGTTCAAGGTCAGCCTAGACTACATAATAAAATCCTGTCAAAAAAAAGAAAATGGAATGTGAGGCAGGGTCTGGCTATGTCGTTAAATGGTCCAGTCTGGATTCCAAGTTGCAGTTCTGCCTCAGCCTCCCAGAGTATTGGGGTTATAGGTATGCAGCCCCACATCTATTAATTAATTTATTTATTTTAGTTCTGTGAGTTGAACCAGGGCCTCATGCCTGCTAGGCAAGCAGTTTACTGATGAACTACATCTCCATTCCTTTTGTTACGTGCATTGTGTGTGTGTAGTTAGAGTCCTGATACATGCCAGACAAGCACCGTACCATGGAACTGTACTCCCAGCCCCAGACATCCCAAACCTGAGGGACTCATGCAGCATCTAGGTGGATCTCTCCAGTGGGCTGTTGAGCAGTCAGAGTCAAAGAGCAGGGCTTAGAAATCTTTAGCTGTGTGGCCTTGGCAGGTAGCTCCAGAAGTGAGGTTGTGCAGAAAAAGGGGATGGGGTTGGGGGAGGCCCAAGGACGACCTGGTCACCTGCAGTAGAGGAGGAAGTGAGGAGGAGGGGTGGGGCAGGGTGTGTACCCAGGCCAGCTGTGGAGCAGCAGCTCTTATACCCCTGTTGTTGAGGGAACTTGGAGGTGTACCAGGATGGAAGGGAGCACAGTCTCAGTGTGTGTACAAGAGGAGATTATAGCCAGAAGTCAGCTGGTGGTTTGGAAGGCGGAGTGGGAAATGAGTTCATGGCATAGGCATCAAAATCCCTCCAGGAAGTAGGCAAGGGATGGTGAAGAGGGGCAGAAGAAAAGGCTTAGGGGAGAAGAAAGGGCTTCTTCAGGGTGCAGAAGACGCTAGTAGGTTGGCAGGGTGAGGACAGAAGCAGAGAAAAGCAAGGTGGAAGTGGAAGTGTTCGACGGAAAGTGAATGTGTAGGAAAAGGAGGTGCTTTCGGGTGCGCCAGGAAGCTGTGCTTACTGAAGGAAGTACAGGGCTGTCCCTGGGAGGTGAGGGCCAAACTCCACCAGAGGCCAGAGGTGAGAGTCCCTCTCCTCTCAGACTCAGCAGAGAGGCAGGCAGGACGCTCCCAGCCCTGCATCGTCTGTGATTCGGTGTCTGTGAGGGAGGAGTTCTCTGTCCCTGAAGCCAGGAGTTTAGTGTTCATTCCTCGTGTATGTTGTGAGCTGCAATGCAGAGGGCACTCGGTGAGCGCTGGGCGTGGTTCTTTCCAAAGGTTTTTGTGCTCTGATTGCTCAGTCTGGAAGGGCAGTTGGCCAGGACATTGATGTGAGTGAATGCATGGTGTGATCAGCTGCGCCTCATCCAGTGTGTGTGGGAAAGCTGTGCTTCTGGCAGAAGGAGCAGAAATGTCAGCATAGCTAGCAGTCGAGTTCGTTCCTTCCAAAGAAAGCCCCTGTACTGAAAGGTTTTGTCTGAGGCAGCACATGTTGTAGTTGCGGGTGGGGAGGTAGCAGCGGGAGGCTTGCCTGAGCTGGGGCAGCTCGGCCTGAGCCTGACGGGGAGCCCTGCTCTGGAGAAACCCAAAGGCTTAAATAAGGAGTGAGGTGCGTGTAGTCATTGTTTAGGAAGGGCTGAGTAGGGGCCTGGAGATAACTCAGCAGGCATAATTGCCTGCCTGGCAAGAGCAAGGTTCCACGTTTGATCCCTGGTACTACCAAAAAAAAAAGGGAAACCAAATAAGGAAGTGCTGAGAAGACTGACATAGCTTAGAAAGAGGTACTGTTACAGTTGGTATATTTTCATCTAGTACTTCACTACACAGTTGGGACTCCTTAGTGATCCTCCAGTCTCAGCCTTCCCAGGGCTGGGATTACAGCAGTGCATCACCATACCTGGCTTCAGTGGCTGACATGGTATAAGGGCTGGCATGGCATGTGGTACCAGGGATTGAACCTGCATCCTTGCGCTTGCCATGCATGCGCTTTGACCACTGAGCTGTCGTCCAGCTCTTTTCTTTTCTATTTTGTGTTTGTTTACATTACTGGGGATGGGACCTAAAGCCTTTACACTAAGCTGTGTTCCCATTTTTTAAAAAAATTACAGTATTTTTAAAAAATTTTTTAGTGGGGCTGGGGAGATGGTTTAGTGGAATAAGCGCTTCCTTGGCAAGCGCAAGGGTCTGAGTTCAATCCCCAGTTCCGCAAAAAAA